GACTACGCGAAAGGGATTCAGGGAGACGGGTGACTATATAGTAGAGAGTGATGTACATGGGGGGGGGGGGTTCTTGGCGCAGAACTCAGCAGGAAGCGCAGCGCGGTAGCGAGTGTCACTAGTGCGGAGGTGCGTAATGAGGTCAGCGTCTGTGGGAAAGGCAGCAAGGTGAGGGAAGAGGTACGGTAGCATGAGGCGGCTCAGTGCAGCAGTGGCAGGGGAGGAGTAGCGTGCAACTACAGCATCGTACAAGGTCTGAGCACTCTTGTACTGGCTAAAGTGCGCACGTTCAGAGGTAGGCAGGTGGCGATGCACAGCAAGACGTGCAGCAGCATCGCGCGTGGCCCACTGTGAGCGAACAGTGGCGTCAGCATCAGCAGCAGGGGCAGGAGAGGCACCAGAGTTGATGTCAAAGAGAGAGAGACCGTCTGCCCTATCGCACTGTAAGAAAAGTTGCAGGTCATCTATCCAGACATCTAAGTCAATGGCCCGACCCTCAGCGTCAAAAGCGAGGACACTAGGGGTAGCCATGACAGCAGTAGACTAGTAGTGCGAACAGTAGGGTGAGGGCAGTGCAGTGACATAGGCGCTGCTCTTACCGGACAGGACGGCTCGGGCGGCTCGGCTACAGGGCGACTCGGCGGCTCGACGGCTCGGTTGTACGGCCGCTGGGCGGCTCGGCGGCTCGGCTGCTGGGCGGCTCGGCGGCTCGGCTGCAGGGCGGCCCGGCGGCTCGGCGGCTCGGCTGTTCGGCTGCTGGGCGGCTCGGCGGTTCGGCTGCAGGGCGGCGCGGCGGTCGGCTGCTCGGCTGGGCGTGGCGGCTCGGGCGGCTCGGGTGGCGGGCGGCGCTGCAGCAGGCTACGGCGCCTGTGCCGTAGTGGTGGCGGCGAGGCCGTGAGGGGACGGCGGCGAGGCCGGCAGAGGCGGCGCCGGGGCCGCAGGTAAGGGCGGTGGGGTCGCAGGTAAGGGCGGCGGGGCCGCAGGTAGGTGGCGGGGCCGCAGGTAGGAGGCGGGGCCGCAGGCAGGTGGCGGTGCCAGCAGGTAGGCGCCGGGGTCGCACAGGTACGCGCCGGGGCCGCAGGTAGGCGCCGGGGCCGCAGGTAGGTGGCGGGGCCGCAGGTAGGTGGCGGGGCCGCAGGTAGGTGGCGGGGCCAGCAGGTAGGCGCCGGGGCCACAGGTAAGGGCGGCGGGGCCGCAGGTAGGTGGCGGGGCCGCAGGTAGGTGGCGGGGCCGCAGGTAGGTGGCGGGGCCAGCAGGTAGGCGCCGGGGCCGCAAGTAAGGGCGGCGGTAGGGCCGCAGGGCGGCGCAAGGGCTGCGGGGTAGGCGATGAGGCCGCAGGGCGGCGGATCGGGGCCGGGAGAGGGCGGCGCGAGGGCCGCGGGGTAGGCGACGAGGCCGCAGGGCGGCGGATCGGGGCCAGGAAGGGCGGCGCGAGGGCCGCGAGGCAACGGGGCCGCTAGGGCCGCTGATCGGGGCCGCAAGGACGGCGCGACGCGGTCGAGAAGGGGAGCGCGACTCGGGCTAGGGCTGAGCGCGCTCCGGGCAGGAAAAAAAAAATATCGAGTTGGTGGGCCCTAGGAACAGTTCCCACAAGGGAACCTGCTCGATACCATGGTTGAACTATGAAAGAGTTGGGTACAAGTACTAACCCTAATTGGGTTGTACCCCATATGGGCTACCCCACTACAGCCTACACAAAAGCACAAGCTATAATGTTCTGACACCAAGCCCTTTGAAGTCATCACCAATGCCTCATATTTCACCATCGGTGCTGTACTCCTCCAGGATTCCGGCAACGGTTTACAACCGATTGCCTACAAGTCACGCAAGCTACAGATAGCCGAGCGCAACTACCCGAACCATGACAAGGAAATGCTCGCCATCATCCATGCATTCAAGCTTTGGTGGTGCTATGGTGCTATCTGACAGGCGTCGGCATCACTATTCGCATAGATCATAAATCACTGCAGTATCTCCACGCATAACCCAGCTTCAACCCACAACAAATCAGGTAGCTCGTCTACATCGAGTCACATTTCACCTACCGCATCACGTACAAGAAAGGGGCGAATAGCATTGCCAACGCCACGACCCGGCCAAAAGTTCAATCCATTACAGTACTAATTACCCATTCGAACCCACTATTTATGGGACTATTCACCCACAGCTACACTACGGGCCTTTCTTCACGGCCGGGAGTCACCAGCAAGCTATGACGCACAACGAGGATTATTACCTAAAAGCCGGAACTGACTCGATTTGGGTCCCCGCTTACCGTCTGTTGCGTGAACTCCTCATCCAGGAGGTCCGTGATTGCAACCTCTCTGGACATTTCGGGGTTGATAAAACCCAGAAAATGCTCCACCATCAGTATTATTGGCCAGATTCATTTTCTGACGTGCAGCGTTATGTGTCTTCATGCAGAGTGTGCCAGGCGATGAAGTGGACACGGCAACGGCCAGCAGGATTGCTGCAGCCCCTGGAGCCACCTGAGCGACCATGGCAACAAGTGACGATGGACTTCGTTACGGGGCTGCTAGCTGGCCCCTCCAGCAATGACGCGGTGCTCGTCGTCATCGACCGCCTCACGAAAATGGCACACTTTGCACCACGTCGCACGAGCATCACTGCCAAAGAAGCTACGCGCCTTTTCATCTCAACCGCAGTGCGACTACACGGAATTCCATCGGTGATGGTCAGCGATAGAGACCCAAAGTTCACTTCGAATTCTTGAAAAGAGACATGGGCGCAGTATGGCACGAAGCTTTAGTCCTTGTCGGCCTACCATCCACAAACCGACGGTCAGACCGAGCGGACCAATCAAACGATGGAGCAGCTCATCCGCACAAACTGCCCCACCCCACTCGCTGGAAAAATTCACTCGTGATGCTGAAATTTGCGTACAACAATGCCCCGTCCAATACGATTAATCACTCCCCGTTCTTCCTTAATTTCGGGATGGACCCGGTGGTACCAACCACGACTACACTCGACAACCCGGTCCCAAGGTCACAACACTTTGAGACCAAATTACAGAATATCCGCGTAAAAGCAGCCGAGGCAATTCACAAGGCCAACATCACCGCCCGAAAACACTCTGATCTTCTTCGACATGAATTGATCATGACAGCCGGGCAACTAGTGCTGCTCGACAAAAAAAAAAAAAAAACCTTTGCTTGCCAAGCTCATCCATGTTCCGGCCACGATTTTGCGGGGCTTTCCGCATCTTAAAGATGGTGATACTTGTCACCGCAAAGCTGCAACTACCCGACGACTTGCGGGTGCACGATGCTTTCCACGTAAGTCTGCTTCGCAAATTTGTCCCGGCCACGATGGACATTGCTTGCCAGAATGCCGCCCCGACAGCTCGCCCTGTCCCGGAATCAACGCTTGATCCTTTGAAGATCTTGGCCCATTGCGTTCAACTCGACTCTTTTGGCCGCCACGATGACTTCTTAGTCCGCTGGACCGACAGTACCAAAGAAAATAACATCTGGGTGCCATCCGCCTCGCAAACGAGTGCCGGACATTGACCACCTTTCTTAGAGGAAAGGGTAGTGTAAAAATATTTTATTTTCCTTATCGGTGTTGACTGTTACGCGTACAACCCCAACATTTCTGGACTTCGCACGTTCGACCGACATCCACGATTCCGAGGCTGCTCCACGTCGCATTCGGCCTTCCTTTCACCAAACGTGCACCCAAACTTGTATCTCTGAGGTCCTCCTAGCTAGGGTAGTGACTATATTATGACTTGCCTTCATGGTATTCATTGAGTCACAACTTCGATATTCGTTTTCTGCGCAACTCTGTTTTACAACCCATAACAGCTAGCATCCCAAGACTTTCGAGACCTTTGCAATTTGCTTCTATAATGATTGCTCATGCCTTCGCTCGGTTCCTTAAGAGTGACGCATTGTTGCTCAGTCAATCCGCTTATAACAATACATAAGAATAGAAGTCCATTTATTTCAAGCATAAAATGTGTAAATGGACTGCCCAAATGCATAAACATCTTGGGTAGATGAAAAAAAAATCGTGTCTAACAAGTGGGCATTACCAAACGCGTTCCAACTTCGTTCTGAATGGTTTATCCCGGTGTGCAATGGTCTAAAGCGGTAAGATCCGAGAACCGTGCCCAAACGTAGTTGACCGTATTCAACCACGTCAAGCGAACTCAGAGCAGAATGTATGACCCCCGTCGGACCATTCTGTTCGACCACCACCAAAAATGGAAACACTCTCCGCAAGTCCCGCAACTCGATACAAGATGTTGAAGCTTTTTTGCCTTGCGCACCCCCATGGAGTTTGAATCCCGCCTTGTCCATACGGATTTGCCAGCTTAACGCGTTCAGTAGCCGCAAGCGGCGCCCCCCAACGCTTTCCTCCCGTCATCGCCGCCCCCTCGTCCATCCATTCGCGTTCCTCCCCCTTGTGCCCATCATGACGACAGTCGCCACACCCCCGATCGACTCCTTCTCGCAGCCCCAACACCATCGTCGATATGTCCTAAGGTCGACCGAATGCACGTTTCCGGGCCTCGGCGCAGCGGCGATTCCTCTGAGCTTCCTCTCGCCCCCCCCACCCCCACCCCTCCCCCTCCCCCTCCCCCTCTCCTTCTTCCGCAACGAGACTCCCCAGCGACGATCCACGAGGCAATTTCTAGGAATAAGATTTAAAAAGGGCGATTGACCACTCGCTCTCAACATAAATCCGACGCTCGCTTCCGAGGGATCAGTCATATTCTCCCACCGCTCCTCGCTCATTGCGTTCCTTCGTCTCCTTCCTTCTCAGTCGCACCTCTCACTCGAACCTTCAAGGTCCCACCCAATCTCACCTCGTCGCGACGTCCAGCGACGTCAGATCCGGCGATTCAACTCGGGCCTGAAACTTGCCGCCATCGTGACGTCATCGTGATCCCAGTCTTTTCGTTTCCTCTGGCGGCCTTTTGAGGCGCCTCAAAAACCCCGACTTCCCGTTTCCCCACGACTCCCGTCGCCATGAAGCCCTGCGCGCCGTCCGCTGTCGCCACGAGGCCCTGCGCGCGCCTGTCTGGCCTGTGTGGCCTCGCCGCACTCGTCGCGGGTCTCGTCGCCATCAGCTTCCTCGCGACCCACGCCAGCGCCGCTGATGGTGAGTGGGCTGACTGAAACACACCACGGGCAGTAGGCGTGTAATGCTGGCGTGTGGATGAGTGCGACTCACAATCATAGCAGAATCTGTCTCGTTTTGAGCCTCTTTCCCTACCTTGCCTGTGTGCTGGTGTGTGTGCCTCTCTGCCCCTTATTTGAAACTATCACGACTTCTGTGCAGACCTGTGTGCGAACGAGGACTGCGGGGAAGGCACCTGCGCCGTTGATGTAGACAATGACATACCCCTGTGCGTGTGCAAGGACGGTTTGGTATTCGACGACGACCACAAGACGTGTGTCGTGGGTGAGTGCTGGAGTGTGGGCGAGTGAGAGCGTGTGGGTGGGTTTACAATCATGAACAGCAGTTCACTCAATTAACTTGCTTTCCCTGCGTCACCATCACTTCCTCTGCAGACCCGTGTACCGGCGGGGTGTGTGGGGTAGAGGCTTCCTGCGTTACTCTCGGTCCGACCGAATTCCTCTGCAATTGCAACAAGGAAGGCTTTGCCTTCAACGAGGCGGACAAGACGTGCTTTCGTGAGTGCTGCACTGCTGAGCTGTAGACACTTCATTTCTTGAGGCACTCGCATTTGAGCATCTCAGCATTTCAACCGGCTGCACTGAGTGGCGCCGCTGAGAGGCAACGCTTGGAACGTTCACCCCTCACTCCTCCCGCACTTTCCCCCCTGTCTGCCCCCTTCCTCTCCTCTCCCCTGTCCTGCCTCCAAACCCCCATCATCGTCACACAACCTTCAACCGCCACAATCTGGCATCGTCCGTCTCAACGGCCGGTCAGCCCCGTTGGTGCGGACGACAGTGGCGCTGCAGCAAGGAGGCTCGAGAAGCATTGTGCCCGCCAGCTTCTTGGCACCACTGCCGGCAGAGCAAGCGAGTGGCAGCAGCGCGTGCGGCAACCTGTACGTCACCATCGAAGGCAGCGCCAAGATCACCGTCGTGTGGAATGCCTCCAACCCCGCCCCGCCTGTTGATGAAGCGCCCAGCAACGCCATGTGCAAGAGCCTCTCGTTATACGCCGAGTCGGGCTGCACGAAGAAGCTGCGCTTCACTATCGCGCGACCTGCGAAGAAGGGCAGTTCCTACCCCGTCACGATCAAGTGAGTGTGCGTTATGCATGCAACTGCATGGTTTGTTCCAGTGTGCTTGCAGCACTATTATCACCAGAAATTGCTCCGGTGTGCTGCATGGTTTGTTCCGGTATGCCGCTCTATTATCACCAGAAATTGCTTCACTGTCTCGTAGTTGTAGTGTGAATGGACTCTAACGCGTCCTCACCTTTGCTCTTCCCTCTCCTCACCTATCCCTCTCTCAGGACTGTCAAGGGAATCCGTTTGCTGCTATCAGTTGGCTGCGAGATCAGTAAGTGCGAGCGCATGCACGTTACGCTGGTGTTATTTTTTCTTCACGTAAAGAGTGTCACGCGCACATGAGAGAAGATCTCCAAGCACACCAGCATGTGCTTTGCTCATTCTGATGAAATCAATGAAACGGGAGACATACCCTAAGATAGAGCGAGACACCCAAGCTCTTCTTTTTCCGTGATTCTTTCATTCCCCTCGCCATGCCTGGAAATTCATTCCCTTCTACATGCCTGGATTGCTCTCTCTGTGGTGCCCACAACAGCCATGTGTGAGAATGATTGTGGAAGTGCACAGTGCGTTGTGAAGGAGGGCCAACCGCAGTGCCAGTGCCCCGAGGGCCTCGTGTTCAACGCAGCCAAGAAGCTCTGCCTCGACCCTTCTCGTGCTCCCCGTAGGCGACCCTAGCTGGATGGACAGGGGCAAGGACGTTGTATCCGGGAGGGGGGAGGGGGGGGAGAGTAGGTGGGGGGGGTAATGGAGCAGCGATGGGAGCAACCGCATGCGGTTGCTTGGAGGCTAGGAAACTGTTTGCCTGACAGGTTGGTTGGCTGATTCACTTCTGTGGTAGTACTAGAAATGGGATTACCAGTGTGTGTGATTATGTGTTGAGTAGAGTCTACTTTTAGTTCCTTCAGATGGATTGTTTGCTTTGAAAATGTTACAATAGTAGCAGGACTATTCGCTGCATAGACTACACCGAGTCTTTTGGGTTTCTAAGAGTGGACAGAGCAGAATCTGCACATACCGGTATGCAGCTGTGACTGCAGGAAGTGAAGGCCTAATACCCAGGTGGCATACGGTATCCATGTTGTTTCGCGCTGGAAATCTACTGCAATCCTGCGAAACTCTGTACTGTGGCCCACTCAGATGCCTGCCTGTACTTCACTCATCTTCGCCTGCCTCCCGTGCCCCTCCCTCTCCCCCACTGTCTCTGCTTGGTGCTCTCCCCTGGTCCATCACCTTTCCCCTCAACCTTACCACCAACATCCTTCCCCTCCTTCCATCTCTATCCTCGTCATCTTCCTCTTCCTCTTCATCCTCCTCTTCCTCCTCCTCATCTTCCTCCTCTTCCTCCTCCTCCTCATCTTCCTCCTCATCTTCCTCGTCCTCCCCTCCTCTATCCCCTCTCCCCCACCCAGCACCATGATTTGGGTTGCGGAACAGCGGTGCTGCATCTTCAAAGGAATCAGAACCTTCTGAGTCACTTCCGCTGCTGCCTGGAAAGGAGAGAAGGGATTGAAGTGACAGATGAAATGAAGGTGTATGGTATGGGTCCAAAAAGTACGTACTCGCAACAGTACCCTACCCAACCATTTTGAATGTTCGATATACTGCTCTGGATTGTACCAACCAACCCTTCTTCAACCGCATTCAGACGTACTCTTCGGACACGCTCATACTGAACACGAACTCGCTACCTGGGAAAGGCACATCCATGCACCATGTGAAGGCACATCGATGCACCATGTGAAGGCACATCGATGCACCATGTGAAGGCACATCCATGCACCATGTGAAGGCACATCCATGCACCATGTGAAGGCACATCCATGCACCATGTGAAGGAACATCCATGCACCATGTGAAGGCACATCCATGCACCATGTGAAGGCACATCGATGCACCATGTGAAGGCACATCCATGCACCATGTGAAGGCGCATCGATGCAGCATGTGAAGGCACATCGATGCACCATGTGAAGGCACATCCATGCACCATGTGAAGGCACATCCATGCACTATGTGAAGGCACATCGATGCACCATGTGAAGGCACATCCATGCACCATGTGAAGGCACATCCATGCACCATGTGAAGGCACACCCATGCACCATGTGAAGGCACATCCATGCACCATGTGAAGGCACATCCATGCACCATGTGAAGGCACATCGATGCACCATGTGAAGGCACATCGATGCACCATGTGAAGGCACATCCATGCAACCTGTGAAGGCATATCCATGCACCATGTGAAGGCACATCGATGCACCATGTGAAGGCACATCCATGCAATCTGTGAAGGCACATCTGTGCATCACCTGGGGAAGGCACATCTGTTCATCACCTGGGGAAGGCACATCTGTGCATCACCTGGGGAAGGCACATCTGTGCATCACCTGGGGAAGGCACATCTGTGCATCACCTGGGGAAGGCACATCTGTGCCGGCATGTCTGGCCTGTGCAAGCTCCGCCTCCCTCTCCATCCACCTGTGCTGTGCCGCTATCACCTCCGCCCCGTCCGCACTGGTCCATGGTGGGGAGATGCATGGAGAGGGGGGAGATTTTAGTACAAATGACATGGCGCACACGCAAAACAGTTGAATGGGGATGAGATGCGGAGAAAGAACCTTATTAAATTGAAGAGCATGAGGAAGCTGAAATGGGCAAAAATTTAACAAAAGCCCACATACCACATGATTACCACAGGTATGAAGAACCCAGCATGTGTTCGTTGCACCAAGCATCTGTGCGGTGCATCCCCCTACACTTATGAACAGCACCCACCACGACATACCCACCACCACGACATACCCACCCCATGGCGCACCCACCACGCATGCTTAGTGGTGCAAGCACCCAGCGTGCATACGGTGCTTCCCCCTAAACTCATGAACAGCACCCACCACGTGTGCAGTGCGTGCAGTGAGTTGCACCCACCAGATGTTGAGCGCAGCAGCCATGGCCTCAACGCACGACAGCCGGCAGGGCACATGGAGAGAGGGGAGGAGCATGGAGAGAGGGGAGGAGCATGGAGAGAGGGACGGTGCATGCCGCTGCCCTCTTCACTCTTCTGGTCCGCCTTGTTACTTCCATTCCAATCCATTCCTTAGGTCCTACTCCTGCTCCCCCTGTGCCGCACACAGGTTACAACGGCAAACAAGACAAAGACAGAAGAAGAAGAAAACACCAATTACACTTTTACGAGAGCCGAAGGGGAGGAAGGAAGGACGAGGGTGATGGGCACAGAGTGCAAACGGGGAAGGCATTTCAATTTTGCACTGACCAACATATGCTGCCCCAATTGGGCTATAGCTAAGTGCATCGCAACATAATAATGTACACGAAAATTACCTTGCCCCGAGTAGCGGTTGCCAGTGCTGCCAGCGCAGTTCAACTCTGTCCGGGGATGGCAGGCGGGCAGCCGATAGCCTTCCTGCTTGCTTCCTTCCTTCCTCGCCCACCACCTTTGGGATAGATGGTTGGTGAGAGAGGAGGAAAATATTGTTGAATCATGGAGCTGTTGGGGGACTGCAGTGGTCAGGGCAGCGGCAGATGGTTGGTTGGTGACGTCACTGATGCTGGGCGAGGAAGGAGAGGGCGGCGCCGTTGAGCACAGCTGCATTGTGCGCCTGGCAGGATGGGCGAGGGAAGCAGTTGCAGGAGGATGGCAGGATGGGCGAGGGAAGCGGTTGCAGGAGGATGGCAGGATGGGCGAGGGAAGTGGTTGTAGGAGGATGGCAGGATGGGCGAGGGACGTGGTTGCAGGAGGATGGCATGGGTTGAACGAGCATGAGAGGTTGAAAGAGCTTAAGCGGTTGAGATGTGCTGTTGAAAGAGGTGGGAATGCTTGCGTTAAGCAAGAATGGGATGTTCGATATTGCATGGGGAGGAGAGATGGGAAAGATCGATGTGATAAGAAGCAGACATGCACAGACAAACGCACGCCCCTTATCACAGCTGCCACACGTGAAAGGCATGAACGCCCTTTTCAGGGAGAACAAGGGGAAGGGGAGAAGAAAGGGGAGAAGAAAGGGGAGAAGAAAGGGGAGAAGAAAGGGGAGAAGAAAGGGGAGAAGAAAGGGGAGAAGAAAGTCAAGAACAAAGGGGAGAACAAAGGGGAGAACCAAGGGGAGAACCAAGGGGAGAACCAAGGGGAGAACCAAGGGGAGAACCAAGGGGAGAACCAAGGGGAGAACCAAGGGGAGAACCAAGGGGAGAACCAAGGGGAGAACCAAGGGGAGAACCAAGGGGAGAACCAAGGGGAGAACCAAGAGGTATCTGTGTATTTAGCTGCTGCGTGCGCATGTGCATGTGCGTTAGTGCGTATGTGGGTACGAGAGTGCGTGCATGCGTGCGCGTGTGAATGTGTGTATGTGTGTGCACATAAGGTTTGCAATCATACAGTAGCTGTGCTGTGTGTGGTTTGCTGCTTTATCCTGTGTGTACCTTGGTGATATAAATACAAAGGACCATTCGAGAGAGGGAGGGAGGGAGGGAGGGAGGGAGGGAGGGAGGGAGGGAGGGAGGGAGGGAGGGAGGGAGGGAGGGAGGGAGGGAGGAGGGAGGGAGAGGGAGGCTTGCTGGTGCATGCGATGGCAAGGGGGAAGAGCTGGCGCTGCCTCACCACACTAGCAGGGTGGGCTGTGCAGTGGTTGGGATATGATAGAGAGTGATAAGGAAGAGAGTGTTAAAAAAAAAGTGATAATAATGAAAATGATCAGAAAGAGAATGATGAGAAAGAGAGCGATAAGAAAGAGAACGATGATAAGGAGAATATGCAGCCTCGAAAATGCATAGTTCGTTGCTTACTTCCTCACATCCGCAATGCACAAATCACCCCCATGCACTCCGCCTCATAGCACCGCACTGCACAGCACACCACTGGACACCACCGCTTTGCACTTCTCAGCATACCATTGGCGGCACAGCGATATCCCCATGTGTTTCTGCATTGGCCTGTCCTGTGCATCTCTCAACGATGTCCCCAACAGCACCTGTTCTCAACCCTGTTCTCAAACAACACCTGCGTCAGGCACCCATGCATGCACACGCAGCACCGCATGCACCACACATACAATTCACTACTTTAACCTTTGATGGTTCTCACAAGTTTATGGTTTTTCTACTTGAATCGGTTACCGATCCCGGAGGGTAGGCGCCTCGTTGTTCCCGAGCCTAATCAGCCGAAGCAGGCCTCTAGGCCCGGTGGGCAGGAAGAGGTGCGGGGGTGTCTTGGCGTGCCAGTGCTGCGCCGCCCCGCCCCTCCCAGCACTAACCGGGAAACACGTGGGGAAGAGAACGGGATCAAGGGGGACCAAGGGGGAGGAGAGGTGGGGTGGTAGGCGCAAGTCACGACGAAGTGACTCGACAGTAGACCGCATGCACAACAGCATTTGACTAGCTGACGTCTTAGGATCGTAAACGCCTAAGTCGGCAATAGTCTACTTGCTATTGCCTATCGTGTTCTCCACGATCTCCCGAATCCAATGATATGCGCAGCTCTGCTTGAAGTTGTCAATACAGACTTCAGCAATTTTCAGAATCTGATTGGTATCATTTCCAGAATGAGTACAAGCAGTTTTATAGTCAGGCAAGACACAAAATGCGATTCGTAACTTCACTTGTTTCCCAAGTAACCGCGTGCGCCTCGTTTCACCCCGAGTCGCACACACAACTGAACCGAATTCGGTGAACACTCCTCAAGACCGAATCCCGAACTTTCTCGAACGCGCCCCTCGTCAATCTCATTCTCGATGCTTCTCCTTCTCTCTCCCTCCTTCTAGCACATTTCTTCTCGATTTCTCTCCCGCTTCTCACGCCGTAGCCTCTATTCCCCATCGTAGGCCGATTTCCACCGTTTCACACACGTGCTTCCATTTCACCGTCATTCTGCCGTCGTAGATGCTTTTGCCTTAGGTTCCGTGGTTGGGCGAACCAACCCTAACAATCTCCCCTGTTGTTCGTCAACCACAAACTCCACTCGCACTGCTCTCCTGCTCCTTGTAGCCTTCACAGGGTCTAAGTCGGCTTCACGCTCCCTTGCAGCTCCTGCACCTTGAACCTCTGCTTACGTGTCTTGAAGTTGAGCGCCTTGACATCCAAACCATGAGAGGTTTTCTTAAGCCCCTCACGTCTCCTCGGCATCTTTACAATCAACACCTCTCGGGTCTCGTACCCTTCAACGCGTTCATCCTCCTTAAGCACTTGCCCCTTTGCAGTTGCATTCGCCTTTAATCCTTTCACCATGATGTCCCCTTTCACAGCTTCAACTCCCACACACTTCGCATTTACTTCTTCGTCTTCAACCACGATCGCTGCTGCAAAAGTGTTGACATCGTCTCCATCTCCACCGTTTACTGCTGCTGCCTCCGTGATCACTATCTCCTCTTCCTGCTTCACTGCTGCCTCCACACTCGCAGCCATCTCATCCGAGTCCTCACTCTCATCATCCTCAGTGGACTCAGGATCCTCATAGATCTCATCCTTATTGTTCATCGCCCCCAAGTTCATCTCATAGAACCCGTCACTGAAGTAACCATCCGCGTACTTCTCCCACTCAGAACCAAACACAGTAACCTCGCCTCTGTCATAAAATATCTTGCACCCCAAGTCATCAAGCTGTGACTGACTGACCAGGTTCACCTTTAAATCCTCAACCAGCAGCACACTCTCCAGTTTCACCTCTCCATACGGACTCTTCAGCACCACGTCACCCTCTCCTATCACTGGTAACTTTCCACTGTTACCTTGCAGTATATAATCCTCACTCAACTCCCTCACATTCTCCATCCAATCTGACCTGAATGTCATGTGACGCGTGCATCCGCTGTCCATGAACCATGTCGTCTTCTCACGTCCGTCCGTCTGCCGAACCTCCATTGGTAAACGCACCACGTTCGCGAGATGCGCTCCTCCCAAAACCACATCCTCCATTTCAGCTTCCACTACATTCGCCTTTGTCACCACATTCATCTGCTGCGACGGACCCTTGTAGCTCATGCTATTCGGGTTGGAATAGCACTCTACGGCACGATGCCTGTAGCGCCCACAATAATCACACTTGCCGCCAAAACCTCGTTTCTGCTGCCACTCCGCTCCTGCATTCTCTCCTTTATCATTCCCCACAGCTTTGCCCTTGTAGTTTCTGCTTCGAGGATTTTCGTAGCAGTTTATCGCATTATGCCCCCTCTTTCCACACTGGTAGCATGCTCCAAATGCCTTCGTGGCATTCACCATACCCGGCCTCTCCTCGTCGAATTCATTAGCTGCTGCTGCTACTTTCTTTTTCCTCATCTCCTTCACCATCTCAAGCGACTGCAGAATCTCCTGCAGCTTCATCAAACTCTCCGACGGTTGGTACGTAAACATACCGATGTGGGATTCCCACTCTTTAGGAAGTCCTTGGATGATATAGTCAATCATCTCGTGCTCCGTCTCCGCGGCTCCCATCACCCACAAATCGTCGTTGTAGCTTTTGGCCCTGTTCATGTAGGTGATGATTTTCTCGCCTTTCTCCATGCTCAGCGTCAGCAGTTGCTTCCTGATCGCCTTCTTGTTGACATCGTTCGTACCCATGTATGTGGACTCCAGGTACTCCCACGCTAGCTGTGCAGGGTTCAGCTCCCCTGCAAACTGGTCCAAATCCACCGCGATTCCATCGGCAACTGAATGACAAAGCTGAAAGAACGCTTGCTTACTTTGCTTTTTGAACGCCGCTATTTTCTCCCTCGTATCCGTCGTGGAAGGCGCAACTCCCTCCATCGTCTCCTCGTCGAGACGGTAGTACGGCAAGAGGTCCACCTCCTCTGCCCTTCGAATGAACTTCTTTCGCCACACGTTGTAGTTGCTTCCATTGAAGCGCTGAGCTTCACTGAGCCCGATCGTCGGTTTCGCCACCAATCGGCCACTCGCAAGGGCCTCGAGAAGAGCCTTCAACTACGGGTCTCCAAGACTCACACTGGAACCCGAACTCGCCTCGTCTCCCATAGCGTAGGCGTGAACGACTCCTCTTCTCCCCTAAATTCACTTAGCGCACCAAGTGAATTCGCGACGATCGACGCGCCTATTCGTCAAGCTTTGATACCAGTTCTTAGGATCGTAAAC